TTATATACGTGTTTGTGGCCTTATTCTTGTATAGTATAAATTGTGTACACTCACTCAAATACACACACGCTTATTAAAAGTGTTATCCTTATCATAACTATCATCATCAAGCTACGGGCAGATAGTGGGTAGTGAGGGGAAGGGGAGGGTCCGGGGCGGCTCAGGTCTCCCTCCCTGTTAGTCCAAAGTCTGTCATCAGGGACACAGTTAGTGTGTGGTGGAACCAAGCCAGGTGAGTGTTGGCAGGACCTTAGTGAAGTAATCTCAGGTCAACTCAGTCCACCTGACAACTCTCTCTCTCTCTCTTTACACTCTGTTCATGACTTTTCAATACCGGTTTTACTAGAGGTCAATTGATCCTCGAGTATCAGAGTAGGTGATTCTTGTGTGTCAACTGAGGTGATCAGCTTCATGAGACGAGAATGAAGGGGTGGGGTGAGTGTGTAAAACGGGGATGAGTCACCCCCACCTACTACCAAGAAGGGGAGGAGGGGTTAAGAGTGGGAGGTGAGGTAGGTGATTAGTTACACCCTCTACTAGCACAGGCAATTCAATCCATGAAATAACGGAACTAGCTTCAGTCGTTGTATCAGCTTCCGTATTGAATGTTGTCCGCTGGCTGTTTAGTGATGATTTTAACACAGTTAGTCTGCTTTTCCGTAATTCTGATTTAGGTGGATAATCACACGAAAAGTTTTGTGGTGTGTTTCGTAGTGGCATTTCAAGTTACTGGCTTTGTGGTGAGTGAGTAAGTCACACATTGCAGGTAAGGCACAAAGGTTTACCTCCTTTATCAGTGAATGCAAAATCTTCCTCCCACTCTGGCTTAAAATTTGTTTTCATCTTCATACTTTCGCATCTTACAATTTGATGATGCCATTTTCCTTAACAAAAATTGTCAGAGACACAGAGCAATCAAATATATTTAACAGTATTTAAAAACAACTTATTCTTGTGAACTGTAAACATAATTCATATCCTGAGTGTACCAACAGCACAGTTCAAAGTCGTGTGTTACACTGCGTTAATGTACTTGTCATGACGTGACTCACCCCTCTGACATTCCTCCGTAACCCCTCTGCTGACCTTAAATGTCTTTAAACCCTCTACCTCCCGCCAGCAATGATGAACGAACACCTGACCCAGATTTAGCATTAAAATTAAGATTTAAATTCTTAAATATTTGTATTCATCTTGAATAATTAACCTACATTTCAGTCCAGAGGAGGCGAATCAATATATTTCCGCGAGCCGCACATAGTGTCAAAGAGCCGCGGTTTGGCCACCCCTGCTCTATACTAATAACACTATTGGAGGTGTGTGTGTTGGGACAAACACTAACTGCTACACAACACACTTCCCTAAACCTTTTACACCTGTCATTCCCAGATTAACCAAACAGGTGAATACAGCCCTAAATTCTTCTTCATCAAAGTAAAACACATTGCTGTTTATGGGGACAATGTCAGTTTCCTTCGTTTTTATGTTCTTAAGTGTATAACTGAATAGATTATGTAGTACCACGTCATTCATAATATCCAGTGGTCTTGTTTTTCTGTTTTATCTCCTACAGTGGGATGTCAGTGTCTTAAGTAAATCTTTTACAGGATGTTGTATGAAAAAACAGACAAATACACTGTAACTTTATTAAATATAACAGGAAGAATTAACATGTTATCTAATCCCATACACACGTCTTATTTCATTTATATATACAAAATTGGTTATATATGGACTGTAAATTTTATTACCAAAATGTTTAATAATACTTAAACTTATATACAAAACATAAGTCTAACAATCTCTGGGGCTGATATCGATGGTAACACTGCTACTGGTATCGTCAGCAGCACTGCTATTGGTATCACTGTTACTGGTGCCGCCAACAACAATGCTATTGGCTGTCTCGTCTTCAGAGCCGCTGTTGAATATACCTTGGAGGCCTATGGTGTTGTTCCTCCAGGCGACAATGTCGTCCTGGAGATCGGGCAGGCGACTATAGGTGTCGGGGTCCAGAGGGCAGCGGGTGAAGGGGTCGGAGGGAGACGTCAGCAACAGATGGATCAGCGTCGACTCGTCCACCACCATCTTGGATGAATGTAGCAACACCGGCGCCTCCATCACCGCCTGCGTCACGCTGTCCAAGAACCTCTCAGGGCAGCCCTCCGTCCTCTCCCCACACACTTCATGAATCTTCAAAAAGGGACATCCGCCCTCCGTGGCCTGCCGAGTGAGGAAACACAGTTGGTAACCGTGATCACGCCACAGTGACGCCCCAACAGAGTGCGGCGTCTTCCGACTCACCAGCAGGTTTAATATACCGTCAATTTCAACGAGGAGGCTAGTGAAGGACGAGTTGCTCCTATCAAGTAGCTTAGACGTTAGGGAGACGACTGAGGACGTGGCAGAGACGAGGGCAGCAGCAGCTGCCTGAGCCAGGCCAGGACTTTCGTAGGCCTCCATAGTTGGCGACGTTGCCACCAGTATCTTTAACAAAATGAAGACGTTCTCGAACAATAAGACGGTCATTGGTCCATTCCAGCAGCCGGTCTCGTACCAACCCTTTATCGTCTTCGCCATCTGACTTGCCAACTCTACCAGTTGGGCCAGACAGCGTAATTCAGGCCCAACTCGTAGTTCCTTCACCTGATGTACAGCGGCGGCCGCAATGGGCGCCAGGTGGCCTTGTTCCCAACAGCTGCTCAGAACCTTCATGAATGGTTTGACGAGGCTGGATGACAAGGAGTTGGGCAGGAGCTGATCCACCTGCAGGTTAGGACTGACGGCCACCAGCCCTGTTGCTGCTTGCCAGCCGAAGACTGAAGACGCCATGTAATCATCTGACCACATTTCAACGAAGCGTATCATCTGCACTCTGAGGTGAAAGTTAGGGCACACGTCAGGGCAGTTCATCAAACGAAGGACCCAGACTTTCGTACAAAGACTCTGCTTAATATCCTCCTGAAAGCTGGGGTCCCAATACTCAATGAGACTGACGATTCTCCACATGAGGTCTTCCAAGCTGTCCGTCACGACAGTGGTCATCGACCCCATCATACGCACCGCCACAGCATTTGCTGCTTCAATCCCCAGCTTTGTCTTCATCGTCGCCACGCGCGTCATAGTTTCTCTATTACCAATCCAGACAGAAGCGTCTTCTCCTAGCTCAACCGCCACTATCAGGTGACGGAGACACAGCGACTCCACCTGTACCCACTGCACGGCGTAGTGATACACAAACTCCCCGACCTGGAGCATCTGGGAACAATCGTGGCGAGAGTGACGATACAACAAATCACGAAGATATTTCAAACTTTTAGAAGGTGGAGGATGCACTTGGTAATCCAACCCTGTGATGGAGTAACCCACCACAGTATTATGTTCTTCACCACAAAAACACACCACCATACTGACAGTCAGATCACTTAAAACACCAGACTTGTCACTGACGTTCACTTGTCACGTTGACGGTAACGAAGCAACCAGGGCAATGACAGCATAGATTGAGAGGAGTCACTTATAGGCGCGAGGTGGGAGGAGCCAGTAAGGTGATGTAAGGTCTCCTGAGGTAGGCGTGGATGTGACCACCTTCAGGTAATGAGTGAGGTGAGGTCTTATAATCCACAAAAAGGCATCCTTAAGTCTGACCATATAATGACCACCCAATAACTTATCTGTTGGGATCACCTGAATATTAGCCCCCCTCAGTTTATTTCACTTTAAGATGAACCTCCCTAACGCTGGCCTAACAATCCAACCCCAGGTGACGTTAGGGTGTTTAATAATTATCAGTTGACGTAAGTTGGGGGATAAACTAACTTGTTTTTACCAATAAATCTTCTCTCACCTCATTTATTTATCCAATTTTACACCAGGTGTTAGTTTACTCCACACTCTATCTACTTAAATATCTATCTAATCTGCTTGCTATAAACCGTATCTAATTAGCAACAACAAACAATCTTCACTATCCACCATCCAGACCCAGACCTTACCTGATGGATTCCATG